AGTGTTTTAGTGTATTGGTGGGTGTAACGGTCATGTGACTTTTTTGTTGCATTTTATCATGATTTGTTAGCAAAATATGGCCGATAAAAATGTGATCGTCCAGGTCCGGATGATGGCGGAATCACAAGATATGCTAACCCTTTTGACCCGCGAAGATCCGGGTTAGAACTGGTCTTTAGCAACCTATGCTTGTAGTAAGAGGCGACTAACGGGATCGGGAGGTCAGACTCACTGATTTAGTTGACACATGTCATGATATCCCGTGACCCGTGAAGGTCCGGGTTGGAATGAACCTTCAGTAATCCATGCTTGTCGTAAGCGGCGACTAACGGGATCGGGTGGTCAGGCTCGCTGGCTTGGTCAACACATGTCATCGGTTCCCAGTTGCGTAGATCGATGCTCATGATGTTGATCACTGGATTGTTCTGGTCCAGACTCGATTATTTACAGAATGACGCTATATAGCCGGAATTTTGTGCGGCGTTGCACTTATCACATTGTCCTTATATTCTTGTGTTAAAAAACCAAGGATCACAATCTCGGTGAATCGGGGATTCAAACTTACATGCAATGTTTCTAGGCAGGTAAAAGATCCGAGGGAGGAGAGCTAAAATTGAAACAGAATACCCGTGTACGGCAACTTTCTTTGCCATGGGGTGGTGGAGTATCCCTTCGTCACGTCGAAGGCGTGGGTTCGATTCCCAACATGGGTTCAATGCGTAAAGCCCATTTGTGTGCCCCCCGCCGTGGTATTGCTGGAATATTACTAAAACCGGCGTAAAACACAATTAATGCACTCGCGCTCACTCTTTGCCATAGCGTGATAATCTGTATTACCACTGATCTACACCTCGATCACCTAGTGATATATCATTTGTGGTATTCTACCTTACGTAACCTTACAGCTTATTATATTACACAAGCTGCCCGAAGTTCTGAGGACGGTGTAAACCACTTTCCACCAGCCGATGTTGGTCCAGACGATTCCAACCTGATGTCGACTTTGATGTAGTGTCGTATGACGTACTGTCGCCGTACTCATGAACTGTATTGACCCATACATTTACTGCAAGACTGATGTACCGATAGTAATGCACCTTTCGGTTCTGTGGTGTGACAATTGGTATTGTATATATGTAATGCGGTGTGCTTTCCCAGGTTGACAGTGGGTAGTTACGTACGATAATTGCTCACTGGCTTTGCTGAATTTATCGAATGGCATTTGCAAATTCAGTGTCGGCTTACCAAGGTTCGTAATATAGACGATCTTTGATTTATTTTATTAGACCTGTATTCATTTCCACGCGGTCATAAAGAATGAATGACCCACCCAATGTTTTGACATCGGGTCATGGTTCGTGACGCCTTCAATTCCAGCAGTTTTAATGGTGTTTGATTGTTGTGGTGGGTGAATTCTTCGCTGTATGGTCTATTTAAAGCTGATTCCGTTGTTCTTTTTAGTTCCTATGAATTATCTTAAGAGATAAAATCTTTATTGGAAGGATAGAGACAGTATCATGTAATAGACCCGTTTCGTATATCAGCTATTCCGCATACTCTTTTGAGGTCGAATGTCCCGTTTTATATCTTGTGTGTCTGAAGTTGTACATTACTAGTCTTGTTGCGTCTTCGCAGATATTGTTCAAACGTTGATACTGTTTAAGAGTTATCTGCCTGGCTTGTTTGCTTGTTTCTTGGTTAACGCCGCACTGAGCTATATGACGGCGGTCTCTAAATTTATCGAGGATTTTGGATACGATTATATATATCAACCGAGCCTGACCATCTAATGCCGCTAGTCGCCTCTTGCGACAAGCATGGGTTGCTGATCTGAAGATCAAATCTTACCCGCATCTTCACGGGTCCAGGCTTGTTTGGATCAAATTTGTTTTTAAGCAAATCCTCAGTGTATTGTGAATATATTCAGGCATCCGTTATATCTGTTTGGCCCAGAATAAAGCTTTTCTTTGTTTGATGCAGTAATGGTACATTGTAATTGTGGTTTGAGAGTGGGGTGAGATGGAGGTTGCGTGTGGGGTGAGATTGGGTTGGGTGTGGAGCACGTAAAACAGGGTGCTAAAATCCGACCCGTTTCTCGCTCCGTTTTGTGCGCCTCTGTCGGTTACTTCAATGCATAATTCACATCTTACAGAATCTTTGTTGGAGTGAGTGAATATGATTTTACTCAGCCTTTACCAATGTTCCAGCAATATCACCGGGGAACACCAGAAGTGGGCTTCACACCATGTGGGGAATCGAACTCTGGTCTTTGGCGTGACGAGCGAACGCTTAACCCACTCGGCTACCCACTACCCCCTTTCTTGCAACTATCACTCTTTCTGCCGTTGCAGGCTTCAGGGGTACTATATCACTGCTTGCTTCATCGATCACATATTTGAAATCCTGGAAATGTGGTACAGAGACCAAACTTGTATTGTTTAAGCTACATCTAAATCAGATATTCTTTTCTTTACTTCGAGACTACGTTTGTAAGAAAAAGATCACAAGAGAGTATATTTAGGTGGTCAACGTATTTTACATGCAATCTTAATCAATACGTATTGATACGACATTATTCACATTACAATGCATACCCGTTTCATATGGCCTCACATGTACGCTCCTCCAAATATCTGTATTTCCATCCATTATATCTCCATCTCAGCACGACGCATGATGATACCTCAACTGCAATACATTACGCCTAAATGTAAATAACATCCAGCTCTCGAAAGACGTAAGAAAGATTTACACAAAATCCGACCACAGGATCACATCCATCAGCATTATAGTCCTACATCAGGGGAATAATGTTTGATGAATGAAATTACGACTGATCAAGACTCGTCCGCACCCTAATTCGAGCCTAGGTGCTATACCAGGATATCGAATGTGCTTTGATTAACACAGCATTACGGTTAATTCCGTACAACACACAAAGCAACGACTGCTCATTTCATTCATGTGTAATTATATTGTCATTTACGTTTCCCAGGTAATGTATTTCTGTCTTAAGGTAACGTATTACTTTTTTGTGTTCTCATGAGTCTGACTTTATCCTTTCGCTACCATTGTGAGATATATGTCGTTAATTTTTCATCATGAGCCCGTAGTCGTAAAAGGTACATTACTGGACCCATTACCTGTAATAAGATAAACTTGGGTATGTTTCCTTTGAAAGTACAGTCGTAGGTTTTCCTTTGAAATTACAGAATTAGATGGACTTCCATTTAAGGAAAAATGTATATAGGTATCATTTGTGCAAAGGCTACTACTTTTGTCTGTTTTGCGTACGTAAACAGAAACACCTTTTAAGACTGCGTGAAGATTCGTTGTTTGTGTCTCCAATCTAGAGCAATATATTTCATTTCATCTTTGATCTTTAATATCTTCCGAAGACGCACTGTTATTACGTGTTTGACCATCACACACATTCTCCATTTCGCCTTTGTGGACGAAATGTACTTATCCTTTTCAATAAGAGCGCAAATATCTGCTAAGGTATAGTACTTTGTCCGATTGTAATCATATCTTGAACATGCGTCAACGAATCATTACAAATAATAACATAATAACAGGCGTAAATGTGACGTATCCTGCCCATCGGTGACAACCAACGCAAACACATGCAAAGGCAAGCCAAGTATTTACCTTTGCAAGTCATGCAGGATAGAAAAAGTCAAAATAATGAACTGCATCTGACATTACTTTCGTCAATAATGCGTGTCTACATCTGCCATAAAACCACTTGTATGGTTTGATAAACTACGTGTTGTGATAGACTGCATTGTTATGTTCCGATGAATGTCACTGAACAAAAGTCAAGTCTTTGCGATCCTTGTAGAGCAGTATGCTCGACAACATCTCAGACGTTGTGATTTTAGACACCAAAGGCTGGATCTACTGAAATATTGCTCCAGCGGGAATCTTGACTGTAGAAGACGTCATCCCTAATGTCAGACAGTCTTCAGGATACCTATTTCTGAATCTTAATGCGTAGATCTAGATACGAAAGAAATGAGTCAGTTTCACCTGTCTCTTTTATTTTCGGCTCAGATGGGTAAATCATTGGAAGGAAATTGGTTATCTGACTATTATATTCAATGACATATATTTGAAGCATATGATTCAACTTCTCCGCGGGCGGGTGGTCTAATGGTTAAAGCGTCCGCTCGTCACGCTGAAGACCCGGGCTCAATTCCCCATTTCTGGTAATCCCCGCCCTGATATTGCTGGAATATTTCTAAAAGCGGCGTAAAACCATACTCACCCACTTCTTCGCATTTTTCAAATGCAAACATGGAAGAGATCAGAATGGTGTGTTTGTTTATTTGTGTGCGTGTGTGTGTGCGTGCGATCACGTGTGTGTGCACGTTTGCGCGCGTGTGTGCGTGTGCGTGCTTGCGTTGCAATCTGTAACTGTGTCTTTGGTCTTCCCAGGTCAATAAGAGAATGTTTACTGTACATTTGCAGTGTTGTACAAAGTTGTAAAATCAAAAGTTTTGAGAGATTTGAAGTGAATGCTAATTAGCTAATTCGATTGTCTCTGATGAGCAACACTATGCAAAACAAGTCATTCAAAAACATCATCAACTTCTAACCCTCGTCTAGTCTTGCACGGTGTTAATAAGGATCCTAGAAAATGCGTACATGAAGTAACAGGTTGCAGTTAGCATCTTCCAGAAAGCAGTATACCGCATGTTTGATGTTTGTTTGTTTATTGTTTAAAGCCGCACACAGCAATATTACAACCATGTGACGACATTATGTAAATAATCAAATCTAGACAAGACAATCCAGTGATTGACATCATGAACATCAATCTAGGCAATTGGGACACCATGACATGTGTCAACCAAGTCAGTGAGCCTGACCACCCGATCCCGTTAGTCGCCTCTTACGACAAGCATTGTTCAATTTTCTTAGATAATGTTGTTCATTGCATGCATATTTTATCATTCAATTCATTATTAAAGGGATACTTTTCTTCTTACTTTCAGGAACCGAGCAACAGTCTTGACCTGCGAGACCGCGGGGCTCCCTTGGAATGTGGACGTCACATTTACAGAGATTTAGATCTCGAGGTTTGTACATCACCTGGCAATAAACAAACGCTTCTAACTGTGTGTGGTGCCTGAGCTAACCCCTCACAATGTGTGATCTAGGCGAAGATGTGGTCAGCACGTACCTCCAGAATAACCCAGACTTCCTCACACGCTGGCTGTCTGAACATGGAACAGCCGAACAGCTTCAGGCAGTTGCTGGCAAACTTACGGAAGAGAGCTCTGAAAATGTTCGACCAAGCCTACCAAATTTCACCCAAGTGGCCAAGAATTCAATTACAGGTAGCATCTTTAAACAGTATCTTGAAGGATCAAGGGCAAGGAAGACTTCTATCAAGAAAGACCGGAACTCCCTTCAACACATGTCCGAAGAGGATATATTCATGGAGTTGATTCGAGACATTTCTAGTGAGTTGGACGTCAACGTCCTTTGCCACAAGATCCTTCAAAACGTCAACATTCTTACCAACAGTGATAGAGGAAGCCTGTTTCTTGTTCGTGGTTCCAGAGACAATCGGTACCTGGTGTCTAAGCTGTTTGATGTTACCAATACATCTACATTGGAGGAGTCAATTCACACGTCGGACAATGAGATCAAGGTGCCTTTTGGGAAGGGAATAGCCGGTCACGTGGCCCAGTCCAAAGACACGGTCAACATTGCAAATGCATATGAGGTAAGTGCAATAACTGATACCGTGAAAAAACGGCTTTGCTTTTATGTATGCAAATTTTATGCTTCAACCTACAGAATAGTGTATCTACTAAAACGTGGTACTGTATACGAAATATATCAGCGAGAATACGTGCGTTAGATGGATGTTACTCCACCCTGACCAGCATTTTACTTACATGTATATATCAGACTCCAACTCCAGGGAATATCTAGCAGTATCTCTAGCGTACACATTTTATGTGTATATGATTATATTTTGGGGCGTAAAAGTGTACATAGAATTGACAAAACAGGCAATTTTACGATTCCGATCATGTCATAATATAGTGATAGCGTATCCTACTCCACCTATGACATATGAGACAAACACATGCAACGGCAGGTCAATTGAACACCCGAAAAGTCATCACGACATCCCACCTTGATGTCGGAGGGAAAAACAAGTGACTTAGATCATGACTTTGACACTTTGCTGACACCCACGACTTTGTACTGATAGTCCTAGATTATCCTCGATCCGATCCCGAGATCAGAAACGTCGCCTGTCATGGTGTAATGGCAATTAAGGCATTAATTCCCTCTCTTATCCGTGACTCCAAGAAGATCTGGGTTAGGCTGCAGTAGCACATGCTTATGATAAGAGCCGAGGGGATCGAGAGGTCAAGCTCATATCAGGTACACACTTTGCCGAGCACGGCGTTAAGAACAAACAAGACTCTTTTATCCGTATCCTCTATATGACCACGTGAGCTGGTCACACTAATATCCTAATATCTTCAACAGATTATCCCATTACTTGTTGTCAAATCCACCGTTTGTTAGGTAAAGGTCATCGCATCGTGTAAAAGTGTGTGGGTCACAACACCAAGTTGTAACAGATTAATGCGATTTGTTTCCGTGATGGCAATCACAGCCTTTGTTGCACAAAGGCTTGCATATTACAGCATTCTAATAAATCATAGATTTAGGCTCTTGCGTGATGATGTTGTTTAGTATATGCGTTATTGATAAACGTCGTTGGCCTTAGCGTGATGGTCTTGTTTACGGTATGCTTATATTTATATACGTATATAAGGGGCGGTGAGGTAGCCTAGTGATTAAAGCGTTCGCTCGTCATGCCGAAAACCCGGATTCGATTCCCTACATGGGTACAGTATGTGAAGCCCATTTCTGGTGTCCCCCGCCGTGATATTGCTGGAATATTGCTAAAAGCGGCGTAAACTCACCCACTCACTCAACTCACTCACTCCCTATTAATATAACCTGTTGATTTGTCTGTTGATTTCCAACGATCGCGAAGCACATGCTGTAATCAGTAATGATTCACAGACTAGCATTTCAGAGCTCCACTCATTTCACAGCTGTTTTGGAAAATTTGTGTGTCAGAATTAAAACAGGTTAGATATTGTACGACTGGAGGTGAGGAGAAACTGTCCGGCGCTGATGTTGTATCTACATGAACTTGTAATTTTATGTTACAAGACAGGCATAGGTTGTTTGGTCATAGCGTTCACAACTCATCATGTCGGGGCCAGTACACTCTGATGGTGCGGAATCAGCTGCCATGGAGTTAAATGTCAAATAAAAACAATACCATTACTTCACATGAAAACTCTTCATAAAGCTTTGGGGCGATGGGGTAGCCTAGTGGTTAAAGAGTTCGATCGTCACCCGGAAGACACGGGTTCGATTCCCCACATGGGTACAATGTGTGAAGACCATTTTTGGAGTCCCTCGTCGTGATATTGCTAAAAGCGGCGTAAAACTAAATTCACTCACTCTTCATAAGGGGTTAATAGTACACGTCCAATATCAAATGGTGATGATAATGATGCCTATCCCTTACCTGTCACAAACACATACAAAGGCAAGGCTATGTTTCACCTAAATATCCACGCAGAAAAACATGGTACAGGTTAAGATAGGATAATGCATGGACAAGGTCCTCGCATCCCGTTATACTAAATGGAATGTTGATGCTGATTAATTCTCCCAAATCGCTACACTAGGCGAGGCTTTTAAGCAAGAATACTTTAGATGAATCTAAATTGTTTTAAAGTCCTAAAAGGTCGACGTAAGGACATTGATTCAGATTCCTAATGGACAAACACAGCATAGTGCTCGAGGCGAATGTGCAAAAACAACAACCGATGAGCATCAACTAATACAAATGCTTGGAGAACTGCACCGAGCCTCGTTGCGGAGATGAAAAACGACAGCAGTCCAGGATTTAAAACATCCTTGGGTGATGAGATTCTCAGATTGCGGATAGCATCCGGTCGGAGTCAAAGGATGCTCATCAGGTTGTGCTCAAAGAAACCCACCATCTGAAGGTTTCTATTAAAGTTGTTTGAGCTCCACAAGGAAAGAACACTTTTAGTTTCCCAGAACCTAGTGATATTGGTTGAAGTCGGTAAGAAAAGCTCTTCCTCGTGTCCCTGACACTAATTACAAAGAATAACAATACATTATGTGTAGATTATCTCTATATCTGGTTTCGGTTCGTGCACTAATGCCGTATTTTTAGGAGAGACATTATAGGTGCATCTTTAGGGAAATTATAGAACACGCATTTCTTTTACACATGTATCGTATGGTGCGAGTTACAAGCATAATTTAACTAAATATAACATAGCTTTTGAGATCATCTTCAGTTTTCGGGAATAAATTCATATGTGATATAGGTAATGTAACATTTTGAAAATGTCTTTGACATTCAAGAATCAAACCCTTTGAGTTCATACGATAGCCTTTCCTAAGAAGTTGGCGGATGAAAAAGTAGGCACAACTAATAGATAATACGTTCTTTAATATAGTGTTATAGCGACGTTTCAGTATATACCCTTCTACTTCATAAAGGTAAGGTCTTTACCGAAACTTCACAATGGTATGTGCAAAGGTTTATTTATCGATATTGTATGTGTACTTCATGCCCCGAAACAAAATACCGACTTCATACCACATACGCTTCCTTGTAGTCATCAACGAGAAAGTCAATTTATAATAAACTAATAATGGTTTACGATTCCTGAAAAGTAAGGCACGAAATGTGTCCGGTTCTGTGTTTGTGACATCGCCAAAGGCCAACTAAGCACATCACGTACCCAACGAAGCAAAACAAGTACAGATTAACCAAATTAGAATGGATCGGTGAAGCCTTCATACGCGATTACACTCGGAGGGAGAACGCCGTGAAATACGTCGCTTCTTGCAAAAACTGTTGCAAATAAAGTTAACTGAAACACGCTTTCGCCATCGACCAAGAAGGCATAAACTAGGAAACATGCCATCTTTGGACATGTAAAGAACATCTGTACAGGCACGCTAGCGGGTATATACCAGAAGTTCGATAATCGTTAACCAGAGTAGTTGAACTGCTGATAACAGAAAACAAAGCATGTACAGAGGTTACACAGTATGGTGGAGCTATTTTCAAGAAGATGCTGTTTATGGATTAGCTGTTTCAGTATATGGAGCAGGAAACAAATAGCTCCAACAGAGAATAGCAATAATACTCAGTGGAACGCAAATACAGCAAAACTGTGTAACACCAACTGTTATTGTTATTATCGCTCAGGCAATCTGACTCAGGTGCCTGGGGAATTCTGACAGGTGTTTTGATCTATTGTCGGGTCTTCGCAAGTCTGCAACTTGTAACTTAATCATTTTTTCAGGCAGGCCTGAGTTAATGTGGTGTTTCTCGATGTATTCAATCGTAAACTCGAGCATATTCCGATAAGCTTTTTCAACTGCGCTGTAGAACGATCCACTGAAGTAAGTTGGTTATTTAATGTAAATACAATATATTTTTTATCAATAACATTTTTTTTTACGACGTATATCAGTGAGCATAAGTCTTTTAACTTGCGATGTAACTTTCCCCGCTTTCGTTCGTATAGTTACGTGTTGATTTCCACATTGTTTACGGTAAGTTAACCCTGGAAATTATATGCAAGGCATTCAGTCTGAAACCAACAAGCACCTTTGGGGTTACATATAATTATGAAGTAGTGTATTCATGTATTTATATATCAGCTTTGATACATTTATGGCACCAGGGTGCAACCTGGTTCCTATTGTGCAACCAGTTTTTCTTGTCAACATAGTCCTGGTGCAAGTAAATGCAAGTTCCATCAATCGAATCCTTCTTAAGATATCGAATCAAGAACCATTTCTTGTACAGTCAAATATCACATCCGTTTTTCATACCAGCTCGTTATGAAATGAGTTATGTTAGTGAATATAAGAGCAAATCTATAACTGTCTGTTCATGGACCAGAGTCACAGTTCTTGAATAATCAATATCCATTTTCTACAAAGGGCTATTATAACTTCAGTTAATAGGTCTATTTACCGCTGCTCAGACTTAAATCGTCATTAGAATTTTATCAAAATCAATCTTTGCTCACGTGTGAATCAGTGGGTAACACAGTGCAGGTTATATACTCATCTACAAATGTAGGGGAACACGAACAGTCATACAGCAAAGAGAGGCCAATGGTGTACACGACGTCGAAGTTGGAGTGGTCGTCGCAGGTGATGTGTTTTCACATTAGTCCCGATTTGTTTTGAGCGTCCGTGGCCTGGTCGTGTCTGCCGACCTCTAATGAACGTCATGTCGTTGTCAACCTGAGACCTGAGACAGGTTTAGCTATTTTATCGGTTATGGTGACTGTGGAGGCAATATATTCAGGCCTTGTAATGAAAGCGTCTGTGCTCACCGTCAATCGTCAATACCCAGGTCCAGTCGCCCAATATCCATAAAATGCCATGGCCTTCAATGAGTCCAGAAGCTTACCCACTGAACAAGCCTGGGACATGAACACGAAACAGGTGCCAAACACGTAGCAGAACTTGGTCAGGCGCTGCAAGAGGAGTAGGGCAAACTCCCTCGAATCGAGTTTGGGAGATTCATATGCAGCGTGCCTTATTGGATGAATGAAGGTTTGACATGTAGCGGTGGTATAACGACCTCCAGAACGTCTTAAATGTCTCATGATA